CACACGCACACACACACACACACACACACACACACACACACACACACACACACACACACACACACACACACACACAGGTCAGTCCTCGGTCAGGGTTGTCACATCCCATTGTTGGAGGGCCGGGTCTCTGCGGGTTACATTAATAAAGCCTAGCGAGGATAGATGGGGGTTATTGAGCAGGACTAAGTGCTCTTGTGAAGGTATGTGTGAGGGATTGGCTTGTCCAAGATGGTCTGAGGGATGACAGGCACAAACACACATTTGTGATGATGGCAGGTCATGTCATGTCGTGTCAGGTCACTCTTAAATACCTGCTGTGAAAAACATGACCAGCATACAAGTATCATAGAAACAACAAGTCTGAAGGTGGCCATAATCAAGAGACTGCATTCACAAATATTGTTATATATAAACATGGTTTATAAAATATATGATTCTTACAGTAATTGTATTGTTTGGGTATACTATGAAAAACCTGCATGATAAAGTGTACAGTAACTGATCTGATCACAAATTAAATATTTATTGATGGCAATTGTGTTCACTTTGTGGAGCACAAACCACTTTTATGCATGTGCTGCAACATCATAATGTCATTTTATTTCCATCTTCTGAACAAGAGCTTCTGTTAATAAAAGAGAGAGGTAGGCAGGAAACAGCCTTATAAAGTGTTGAGGGTTGAGGTTCCATTTACAGACCAAATCCCATTTGATCTCTGTGCAATTTTCCCAGTTCCCTTCAGATTCAGCCGAAGTGCTTCTGTTTGGACCACAATCCCTGCACCTACTGGAAGAGGCAGAGCGTGTTGTGCTTTAGGGGCAAGGCCATTTGGCCTTTGGTGTCCTGTATGAACAAGCAATACTTGGAAATGCAAAAGTCTGTGTGTGCGTGTGTGTACGAGAGTCTTTAATCAATTTTTTCAACTCGAGCGTCAAATTTGCATGACGCGTTCTTGCGGTAGCCAATGAGCAGTGAGGATCTCAGCCACTGACGTTGAATCAGAAAACCAAAACGTCAGCCGTTAGCACACAGAGCTCACAGCTCCTCGTATCTGTTCAGAAACTGGACAAAAGTGAAACAAGTACAAACCACAGACTGTCTGTCATGGCGAATACAGTCACTGCTTTATTTCTGTCTTTATGATGTTGTTGTGAGTGTGGACGGAGCAGTTACAGGTTAGTTTATCCTGATCGATCCGATCTCCATTCAGAAAACACGCGTTTAAAAGGTTTTTCACATGCCGTCTTGTCTGCAGACTTAAAAGCATTAAAGGCATAGTTTTTACTAACAGTTATCAGTATTGTAATAATAATAATAATAATAATAATGCATTTTATTTATGGGCGCCTTTCAAAGCTCTCAAGGACACCTTACAGGGCATAATTAAAAACAAGCAATAAAGAAGATCACACAGTAATACAAGACTTAAAAACAAATACTTAAAAACAAGAATCAGTTTAGAAAAATTATTAAGATATTGAATATGCCAGTTTAAAAAGGTGTGTTTTCAGGCTGGATTTGAAGGTTGATAGTGAGTATATATTGCGGATGTCTTGTGGGAGAGAGTTCCAGAGACGGGGTGCAGAGTGGCTGAAGGCTCTTGACCCCATGGTGGTCAGGCAGGCAGAAGGTACAGGGAGTAGGAAGGCAGAGGAGGATCGGAGGGCACGAGAGGGAGTGTAGGTGTGAAGGAGTTCAGAGAGATATGGAGGTGGCAAGAGTGTGAAGGGCCTTGAAGGTGATGTGGCAATCACTTTAAAATCTCGGGTAGTCGCAATGCTCGTTGTTGGAGAACCGCGCTGCGATAGATTAAGGGATCAGGACTGCTATGGTATGACTAGGGGGGCTGTGTTTTGGACTGTTGAAGCTAACGCCAGGACCGTTGCTACCTGGAGGCAAACATTGCGCGTAGTTGTTCGCCACGAATCGACAAATGCCTGTGGTCGCGTGATGCAGGCAGGCGGTGGCTGTTGGTGTGTGTGATCGTGTGCTGCTGTGAACTGTGTGTGTTGTGCTGTTGCTGTGTGTGTGTGTGTGTGTGTGTGCTGTGTGTGTGTGTGCATGTGTGTGTGGTGTGTGTGTGTGTTGTGGTGTGTGTGTGTGTGTGTGTGTGTTGTGTTGCTGTGTGTGTGCTGTGTGTGTGTGTGTGTGCTGTCGAGACGAGACGGTGTGTTTCAAAATTAACAGCATTGGGGCAGCAAAATTGTAGTTAGTTGGAAGACGGAGTGATGTGATTAACTGGAAGGAGTTTCTACGGTCTGCATACGAGCGAGTGAGTTCTGGAATAGTTGAAAGCTTACGCCGATTGGAGGAAGACACAGGTACAATACTGGATATGGTAGAGGGTGATTCTGTTCTGGACCAGATTCCGACGGTCTTCTTAGCTCCTTTATCTCTCATTCGCACTAGCTCCGTGTCGCTCTCCCTGCGCTGCAGGTAGTACAAGCTCTGTCTAATGATGGACCTGCCGACACAGAAACATTTCAAAACGTAATTATTTATTTATTGTAACTTCATAATAGCTGAAAGGCGGACACTGCACTGCTACATCTATTGCGGACGTTTTTTTTTGCTAAAATAACTGTAATAAGTCCAGTGTCCGGCTATACTCCTTTATTCCTCATTATAATTCTATGTCTCTATTTGCTCTCTCCTTTCTGACCTAACATATGAAGCTCTCAGCCGCTCTTTTTCATATTAAACAGTTTTTTTTATCTTTTGAGGAGAATAAAGATTTGGTGCTGTTTCTGTTGGTTTTCTTCCTCCCTGTAATCACATTGAAGAAGAAGTCGCTTACAGCAGTCTAGGCAGGAGCTTGTCAAAACTCAGACGTGTTTTAGTCACCGGGAGTCACATCAGCCATTATGGTGTGCACTCAAAGGGACCGGTTGTAACTTTAGAATATATTAAATTAAAATACATTATTTTCATTAGGAAGATTTATTTAGCTCGTAATTTATATAAAATCAACTGTATTATTATTGCATTGCTGCATGGGCTTATTATCGAGATAGCCGTTAATAACTTCATAATTAACTACGTCTGAAAGCAGAGCAGTCTAGGGCAATATAATGCAAGTCTCTCTTCAGGAGATGAGCAATGTCCACAAAATGATTTAAAAAGAACAGCAAATTTTCGGAAGAAAAAAAGTTAAAGAAATGCTGACATTTTGAGAAAACCCCCCCCCCCCTCTTGACTTTAAAAAAAAGGTCAAATTCTGAGATAAAAGTCAAATTCTGCAGTATGCATTGTGTGTTGCGGACATGTTGTTATATGGGCACACAATGCCTTCTGCCTTAAATCGCGCCATGTACCGTATAATAAACATACTTGTCTATTCTTTCAGCAGCTGGCTTGTGGGCACGATAGAAATGAGGGGTTATATATTGCGAGTGGAAAGATAGGGCAGATGATGATTTGTTCGATTCAAATCGGATAAGATCTGTCAAAGTCACGCCGCGGATTTGCGCCCCGCGGCCTTGAGGTTTGGACAGCCCCTGCTCTAAGGGTAAACACAAGAGATACCCCAATTTTTCAGACGATTAACCTTATATAATCTCTTCTTCAAACATTGACAAGTCCTATGGGACACTTCCAGCAAAAATTGCATTGCACAAGTAAAACACATTTTGTTATGTTTTACGCTTCTCAAAGATTGGTGAAACATATTACACCTTCTGTCTAGGTAACACAGTCAATAACTCTATAGATCATATCAGCTCCTATTCTTTGTAATGCTGCTTCATTTGCACGCAGCCAAATTAACGTTTTGTGTCAAGAATTCAGCTTAACAACTTCACAGGCCTCATGAGGCAGTTAGAAGCGCAAAAACGAGAGAGAAACCTTCTCAAACACTACTTTGAATATTCAACGCACGCCACGATCGATGGACACGTTTTCAGCCCTTACACACGCCTAGGAAGTGTATACAGACAGCATTTCCGCAAGGCTGCGTTTGGAGACTCAATAAAAAAAACAACCGAAATACGGTTATTAGGCCTGTGCGGTGTGACTACAGTATTGGTTGTGTAGAGCAGAGAGCACATCGACTTCAGCTCTCTGATCACAGATGATGTGGTCTAG